GGTATGATCTTTCAAACGAGATATTAAACGCTTTCAATGGCACAACAAAGAGCAAGATGTGATCGCATCAAATTCTACACGAGTTCAGAGTGAAATCAGAAACATTTGTGAATATATGGTTAATCTGTAACTTTTAATTAATGCATTGTAAATGAAGTTGGAACAATAACTTTAGAGCTTCGATCTATCTTTCCAACGAGATATAATACGCTCCAAACGGATAAACACACAACAATCTCTATAATTTAGCGTTTTCAGCGAAAATAGAGCACTTTTAGTGTAAATACATTGTATTACTATTTTTGATACTATTATTATTACTATTATTATTATTATTAATATTGTTATTCTTATTATTAGTATTCTTATTATTATTATTATTATTATTATTATTATTATTATTATATTTATTATTATTATTATTATTATTATTATTATTATTATTATTATGATTATTATTATGATTATTATTATTATTATAATTATTATTATTATTATTAGCTCCGATCTATCTTTCCAACGAGATATAATACGCTCCAAACGGTTAAACACACAGCAAGATAATAGTGTCACAAATACTTAGCCTTATCTCTATGATTTAGCGTTTTCAGCGAAAATAGAGCACTGTTAGCGTCAATAAAGTTTATTTTAGTAATTAGGCAATCATGCCTTGATATTTTGAAACCAGCGCCCAAAGACATGTTTTAGAACTCGGTAAGATCTTTCCAATGAGATATTAAATGCTTTCTATGGCACAAAATAGAGCAAGATATGATCGCATCAAATTCTACACGAGTTCGGAGTGAAATCAGAAACATTTGTGAATATCTGGTCAATCTGTAACTTTTAATTAATTCATTGTAAATGAAGTTAGAACAATAGCTTTAGAACTCCGATCTATCTTTCCAACGAGATATAATACGTTCCAAACGGATAAACACACAGCAAGATATGAGTGTCACAAATACTTAGCCTTATCTCTATGATTTAGCGTTTTCAGCGAAAATAGAGCACTTTTAGCGAAAATACAGTGTACTTTAGTAATTAGGCAATCATCCCTTGATATTTTGAAACCAGCGCCTGAAGACAAGTTTTAGAACTCGGTAAGATCTTTCCAACGAGATATTAAATGCTTTCAACGGCACAAAATAGAGCAATATATGATCGCATCAAATTCTACACGAGTTCGGAGTGAAATCAGAAACATTTGTGAATATATGGTTAATCTGTAACTTTTAATTAATGCATTGTAAATGAAGTTTGAACAATAGCTTTAGAGATCCGATCTATCTTTCCAATGAGATATAATACGCTCCAAACGGATAAACACACAGCAAGATATGAGTGTCACAAATACTTAGCCTTATCTCTACGATTAGGCGTTTTCAGCGAAAATAAAGCACTTATAGCGTAAATACAGTGTATTTTAGTAATGAGGCAATCATTCCTTGATATTTTGAAACCAGCGCGTGAAGACAAGTTTTAGAACTCGGTAAGATCTTTCCAACGAGATATTAAACGCTTTCAACGGCACAAAATAGAGCAAGATATGATCGCATCAAATTCTACACGAGTTCGGAGTGAAATAAGAAACATTTGTGAATATATGGTTAATCTGTAACTTTTAATTAATGAATTGTGAATGAAATTGGAACAATAGCTTCAGAGCCCCGATCTATCATTCCAACGAGATATAATACGCTCCAAATGGATAAACACACAGAAAGATATGAGTGTCACAAATACTTAGCCTTATCTCTATGATTTAGCGTTTTCAGCGAAAATAGAGCACTTTTAGCGTAAATACAGTGTATTTTAGTAACTAGGCAATCATCCCTTGATATTCTGAAATTAGAGCCTGAAGACAAGTTTTAGAACTCAGTAAGATCTTTCCAACGAGATATTATACGCTTTCAACGGCACAAAATAGAGCATGATATGATCCCATCACATTCTACACGAGTTCGGAGTGAAATCAGAAACATTTGAGAATATATGGTTAATCTGTAACTTTTAATTAATGAATTGAAAATGAAGTTGGAACAATAGCTTTAGATCTCCGATCTATCTTTGCAACGAGATAAAATACGCTCCAAACGGATAAACACACAGCAAGATATGAGTGTCACAAATACTTAGTCTTATCTCTATGATTTAGCGTTTTCAGCGAAAATAGAGCACTTTAAGCGTAAATACAGTGTATTTTAGTAATTAGGAAATCAGCCCTTGCTATTTTGAAACCAGCTCCTGAGGAGAAGTTTTAGAACTTTGTAAGATCTTTCCAACGAGATATTAAACGCTTTCAATGGCACAAAATAGAGCAATATATGATCGTATCAAATTCTACACGAGTTCAAAGTGAAATCAGAAACATTTGTTTATATATGGTTAATCTGTAACTTTTAATTAATGCATTGTAAATGATGTTGGAACAATAGCTTTAGAGCTCAGATCTATCTTTCCAACGAGATATGATACGCCCCAAACGGATAAACACACAGCAGGATATGAGTGTCATAAATACTTAGCCTTATCTCTATGATTTAGCGTTTTCAGCTAAAATAGAGCACTTTTAGCGTAAATACAGTGTATTTCAGTAATTAGGCAATAATCACTTGATTTTTTGAAACCAGCGCCTGAAGACAAGTTTTAGAACTAGGTAAGATCTTTCAAATGAGATATTAAACGCTTTCAACGGCACAACAAAGAGAAAGATATGATCGCATCAAATTTTACACGAGTTCGGAGTGAAATCAGAAACATTTGTGAATATATGGTTAATATGTAACTTTTAACTAATGCATTGTAAATGAAGTTTGAACAATAGTTTTAGAGCTCCGATCTATCTTTCCAACGAGATATAATACGCTCCAAACGGATAAACACATAGCAAGATATGAGTGTCACAAATACTTAGCCTTATCTCTATGATTTAGCGTTTTCAGCGAAAATACAGCACTTTTAGCGTTAATACAGTGTATTTTAGTAATTAGGCAATAATCACTTGATTTTTTGAAACCAGCGCCTAAAGACAAGTTTTAGAAGTAGGTAAGATATTTCAAACGAGATATTAAACGCTTTCAACGGCACAACAAAGAGCAAGATATGATCGCATCAAATTCTACACGAGTTTGGAGTGAAATCAGAAACATTTGTGAATATATGGTTAACCTGTAACTTTTAATTAATGCATTGTAAATGAAGTTGGAACAATAGCTTTAGAGCTCCGATATATCTTTCCAACTAGATATAATACGCTCCACACGGATAAACACTCAGCAAGATATGAGTGTTACAAATACTTAGCCTTATCTCTATGATTTAGCGTTTTCAGGGAAAATAGAGCACTTTTAGCGTAAATACAGTGTATTTTAGTAATTAGGCAATAATCACTTGATTTTTTGAAACCAGCGCCTAAAGACAAGTTTTAGAACTAGGTAAGATCTTTCAAACGAGATATTAAATGCTTTCAACGGCACAACAAAGAGCAAGATATGGTCGCATCAAATTCTACACGAGTTTGAAGTGAAATCAGAAACATTTGTGAATATATGGTTAATCTGTAACTTTTAATTAATGCATTGTAAATGAAGTTGGAACAATAGCTTTAGAGCTCCGATCTCTCTTTCCAACGAGATATAATACGCTCCAAACTCATAAACACTCAGCAAGATATGAGTGTTACAAATACTTAGCCTTATCTCTATGATTTAGCGTTTTCAGCGAAAATAGAGATCTTTTAGCGTAAGTACAGTGTATTTTAGTAAATAGGCAATGCTCCCTTGATATTTTGAAACCAGATCCTGAAGACAAGTTTTAGAACTCGGTAAGAGCTTTCCAACGAGATATTAAACGCTTTCAACGGCACAAAATAGAGAAAGATATGATCGCATCAAATTCTACACGAGTTCGCAGTGAAATCAGAAACATTTGTGAATATATGGTTAATCTGTAACTTTTAATTAATTCATTGTAAATGAAGTTGGAACAATAGCTTTAGAGCTCCGATCTATCTTTCCAACGAGATATAATACGCTCCAAACGGATAAACACACAGCAAGATATGAGTGTCACAAATACTTAGCCTTATCTCTATGATTTAGCGTTTTCAGCGAAAATAGATCACTTTTATCGTAAATACAGTGTATTTTAGTAATTAGGCAATCAGCCCTTGATATTTTAAAACCAGCGCCTGAAGACAAGTTTTAGAACTAGGTATGATCTTTCCAACGACATATTAGACGTTTTCAACGGCACAAAATAGAGCAAGATATGATCACATCAAATTCTACACGAGCTCGGAGTGAAATCAGAAACATTTGTGAATATATGGTTAATCTGTAACTTTTAATTAATGCATTGTAAATGAAGTTTGAACAATAGCTTTAGAGCTCAGATCTATCTTTCCAACTAGATATAATACGCTCCAAACGGATAAACACACAGCAAGATATGAGTGTCACAAATACTTAGCCTTATCTCTATGATTTAGCGTTTTCAGCGAAAATAGAGCACTTTTAGCGTAAATACAGTGTATTTTAGTAATTAGGCAATAATCACTTGATTTTTTGAAACCAGCGCCTGAAGACAAGTTTTAGAAGTAGGTAAGATATTTCAAACGAGATATTAAACGCTTTCAACGGCACAACAAAGAGCAAGATATGATCGCATCAAATTCTACACGAGTTTGGAGTGAAATCAGAAACATTTGTGAATATATGGTTAACCTGTAACTTTTAATTAATGCATTGTAAATGAAGTTGGAACAATAGATTTAGAGCTCCGATATATCTTTCCAACTAGATATAATACGCTCCAAACGGATAAACACTCAGCAAGATATGAGTGTTACAAATACTTAGCCTTATCTCTATGATTTAGCGTTTTCAGGGAAAATAGAGCACTTTTAGCGTAAATACAGTGTATTTTAGTAATTAGGCAATAATCACTTGATTTTTTGAAACCAGCGCCTGAAGACAAGTTTTAGAACTAGGTAAGATCTGAACTCGGTAAGATCTGGGGGTCCTAGAGAGAGTTGAGAGCTTCTCTCACTAGGAATTCGATCCTAGGTTGCTCTCTCTTCCCCCTCCTCCCGGCGCCGCCACTCACGGTGGTCGCCGCCGTTGGGGCCCTCTTGGCTCCGGTGGGCTGGTTTTGTTGATGTTCAATACGAATTTTTTGGAAAATTTCCCACTTAGGTGGGATGTTCTTGGTTACTTGGTGTTTGGAAATTGGTCTTTTATGGAGTGATATTGCTTGATTCTGGAAGCTGAGCTTCGTTCGTTGCTGAAAGGAAGTCCAGCCGTGCTGGATTCATGGTCATCACTGATGGCGGCCTTGATCCAGGGAGGTTTTGAGTTGGTGACGTAAAGGTGATGGCTACTGGTCTGGTGCGAAATGGAACTCCTGGAAGGTGAGGTTCTAGGTTCGTGGTTGAAGGTCGATGGCAGATTCGCAGGAGTTTTTCTGGTCAGAATTTATGGAGAAGAAGGTTGGTTTTGAGCTGGGTTATTCCATGACGGGGCTGATGCGATTTGTTACTGGTGGGTTCTGATGGTGCTTGAACAGGTTGAATCTTGGGGATGGAGTTCCTGGACGTACTGGTCATCGCTGTTGATCTGGCCGGCCGGGGTCACTGCGTGTGGGGTGGCATGTACAGTGACGAGGTTGGGGAGGATGATGGTCTGGTTACGTTTCTTATGGGAGATTCTTACCGGAGGTAAAATTCTTGTTTGGGTCGCCGGAAGGTTCGCTGGAAATGGAGGTGGAAGCTACGCCATGGATTCCGGCTTGACGGTTCGGAGGTTTTTGCTTTTTTCTAATGTGGACGCTTGTTTATCCTGTTGATTTGGTTGAGGTTTGACCGGAGTTGACAAATGGCGGGGCTGTGGCGACTACAGGGTCCTCTGTGATGTTTGCTTCGATTTGGGACTATTTGGATGGGTTTTGGTCTGAAAGTTTACAGGTGTCGCCGGAGAAGACCACCGGAATCTGGGGTTGGAACCGCCTGTTTGCTACGAGTGTCCGGCTACTGTCCTACTGCCCTTTGACGCTTCCTACCAATGCCGTTTGGGGTTGCCGGGGCCAAACGGGGGTGGGGGTGAAGGGGGGATTTCCAGTTGGGCTTGGTTACTTTCCGGTTGTTTCTATTGTTCTTTCTCCGTTCTCCGGCCACCGGAAAGCCTGGTCGTTGCCGGGGCCAGGTGGGGGTCTGGGGTGTGGTTTGGGTGACAGGTTGCCGGAGATAAAATACGGGGGGTCTGATGCGATTACAGGCCACCGGAGTTGATTCTCGTGGTAGGGAAATATTTTTCGTGGCTCTAAGTTTGAAAGCGCTCTGGGATTCGCCGGGGATAACCTCCGGCGTGCTGGGGTTGGAACCGCCAGACGCTACTTTCCGGCATGTTACGTACACTTTTACTCTTCTGCCTGACCGCCGGGATGTCGCCGGAACCTGGTGGGGTGGGGGGAGGGAAGATGGTGGTCACGAGCGAGCGTGACGATTCTGGGTATCTTCTGCTATCTTTGACCGGCCGGTGCTTTGCCGGTGAAGGAGACCGGGAAGTCAACGACGTCTTCTGACGAAAGCTGATTGGACCGCCTGCCTCGCCAGCCTGTCGGCTACTGTAGCAGTTCATTTCAAAATTCAAATTGGCACTCGTACAGATGCGGCGCTGCGTGAAGCGATGGAGGATGTTTGGATTCTAGGCTGACCGCTGGTAACCCTAGAGCTAAGCGGATGGAGCCTTGGGATGCTGCTGTGGGCTGATTTGCGGGTGGGCCATCGCCTGGATTGGATTTTCGGCCCATGCGTGTGATGCTGGTGATGCTGGACTGCTAGAGGACTTCAGTGCAGCTGGGATACCAAACTGGGGCGGGCCTTTTTAGGCCTGCGGCCCATGGTTACTAATTGTGATGTTCGATGCAGGGTAGAGTTTTAATTCGGCCTGGACTACTGGGATTTTCTTTTGTAGACTTTTGATGAATGAGCCGGGGCCTGTCCCGTGCCATTCTTGGATTGTGTTTTTGTGATGCCCTTCGGGCTTCTGAAATTTTTTTCCTCTCTCCCTACCCCTACCGCAGGGTGGGGGTGGGGGGAGGGAGGCAGATACGGTAGATACTATTTTAGGTTAGCATGCTGACTTAGATAGTTTTCTGATTTTTTTTTTGTGATGCATTGTACAATGCTATTTTCTGGATATATATACATTTACATTTTATCCAAAAAAAAAATAGAACTAGGTAAGATCTTTCAAACGAGATATTAAACGCTTTCAACGGCACAACAAAGAGCAAGATATGATCGCGTCAAATTCTACACGAGTTTGAAGTGAAATCAGAAACATTTGTGAATATATGGTTAATCTGTAACTTTTAATTAATGCATTGTAAATGAAGTTGGAACAATAGCTTTAGAGCTCCGATCTCTCTTTCTAACGAGATATAATACGCTCCAAACTGATAAACACTCAGCAAGATATGAGTGTTACAAATACTTAGCCTTATCTCTATGATTTAGCGTTTTCAGCGAAAATAGAGATCTTTTAGCGTAAGTACAGTGTATTTTAGTAAATAGGCAATGCTCCCTTGATATTTTGAAACCGGATCCTGAAGACAAGTTTTAGAACTCGGTAAGAGCTTTCCAACGAGATATTAAACGCTTTCAACGTCCAAAATAGAGAAAGATATGATCGCATCAAATTCTACACGAGTTCGGAGTGAAATCAGAAACATTTGTGAATATATGGTTAATCTGTAACTTTTAATTAATGCATTGTAAATGAAGTTGGAACAATAGCTTTAGAGCTCCGATCTATCTTTCCAACGAGATATAATACGCTCCAAACGGATAAACACACAGCAAGATATGAGTGTCACAAATACTTAGCCTTATCTCTATGATTTAGCGTTTTCAGAGAAAATAGAGCATTTTTAGCGTAAATACAGTGTATTTTAGTAATTGGGCAATCAACCCTTCATATTTTGAAACCAGCGCCTGAAGACAAGTTTTAGAAAATGGTAAGATCTTTCCAACGAGATATTAAACGCTTTCAATGGCACAAAATAGAGCAAGATATGATCGCATCAAATCTACACGAGTTCGGAGTGAAATCAGAAACATTTGTGAATATATGGTTAATCTGTAACTTTTAATTAATGCATTGTAAATGAAGTTGGAACAATAGCTTTAGAGCTCCGATCTATCTTTTCAACGAGATATAATACGCTCCAAACGGATAAACACACAGCAAGATATGAGTGTCACAAATACTTAGCCTTATCTCTATGATTTAGCGTTTACAGCGAAAATAGAGCACTTTTAGCGTAAATACAGTGTATTTTAGTAATTAGGCAATCATCCCTTGATATTCTGAAACCAGCTCCTGAAAACGAGTTAGATGTCGGTAATATCTTTCCAACGAGATATTAAACAATTTCAACGACACAAAATAGAGCAAGATATGATCGCATCAAATTCTACACGAGTTCGGAGTGAAATCAGAAACATTTGTTTATATATGGTTAATTTGTAACTTTTAGTTAATGCATTGTAAATGAAGTTGAACAATAGCTTTATAGCTCCGATCTATCTTTCCAACGACATATAATACGCCCCAAACGGATAAACACACAGCAGGATATGAGTGTCACAAATACTTAGCCTTATCTCTATGATTTAGCGTTTTCAGCTAAAATAGAGCACTTTTAGCGTAAATACAGTGTATTTTAGTAATTAGGCAATAATCCCTTGATTTTTTGAAACCAGCGCCAGAAGACAAGTTTTAGAACTCGGTATGATCTTTCAAACGAGATATTAAACGCTTTCAATGGCACAACAAAGAGCAAGATGTGATCGCATCAAATTCTACACGAGTTCAGAGTTAAATCAGAAACATTTGTGAATATATGGTTAATCTGTAACTTTTAATTAATGCATTGTAAATGAAGGTTGAACAATAGCTTTAGAGATCCGATCTATCTTTCCAATTAGATATAATACGATCCAAACGGATAAACACACAGCAAGATATGAGTGTCACAAATACTTAGCCTTATCTCTACGATTAGGCGTTTTCAGCGAAAATAGAGCACTTATAGCGTAAATACAGTGTATTTTAGTAATGAGGCAATCATTCCTTGATATTTTGAAACCAGCGCCTGAAGACAAGTTTTAGAACTCGGTAAGATCTTTCCAACGAGATATTAAACGCTTTCAACGGCACAAAATAGAGCAAGATATGATCGCATTAAATTCTACACGAGTTCGGAGTGAAATAAGAAACATTTGTGAATATATGGTTAATCTGTAACTTTTAATTAATGAATTGTGAATGAAATTGGAACAATAGCTTCAGAGCCCCGATCTATCTTTCCAACGAGATATAATACGCTCCAAATGGATAAACACACAGCAAGATATGAGTGTCACAAATACTTAGCCTTATCTCTATGATTTAGCGTTTTCAGCGAAAATAGAGCACTTTTAGCGTAAATACAGTGTATTTTAGTAACTAGGCAATCATCCCTTGATATTCTGAAATTAGAGCCTGAAGACAAGTTTTATAACTCAGTAAGATATTTCCAACGAGATATTATACGCTTTCAACGGCACAAAATAGAGCATGATATGATCACATCACATTCTTCACGAGTTCGGAGTGAAATATTTCAAACGAGATATGAAACCAGCGCCTGAAGACAAGTTTTAGAAGTAGGTAAGATATTTCAAACGAGATATTAAACGCTTTCAACGGCACAACAAAGAGCAAGATATGATCGCATCAAATTCTACACGAGTTTGGAGTGAAATCAGAAACATTTGTGAATATATGGTTAACCTGTAACTTTTAATTAATGCATTGTAAATGAAGTTGGAACAATAGCTTTAGAGCTCCGATATATCTTTCCAACTAGATATAATACGCTCCAAACGGATAAACACTCAGCAAGATATGAGTGTTACAAATACTTAGCCTTATCTCTATGATTTAGCGTTTTCAGGGAAAATAGAGCACCTTTAGCGTAAATACATTGTATTTTAGTAATTAGGCAATCATCCCTTGATATTTTGAAACCAGCGCCTGAAGACAAGTTTTAGAACTCGGTAAGATCTTTCCAACGAGATATTATACGCTTTCAACGGCACAAAATAGAGCATCATATGATCGCATCACATTCTACACGAGTTCGGAGTGAAATCAGAAACATTTGAGAATATATGGTTAATCTGTAACTTTTATTTAATGAATTGTAAATGAAGTTGGAACAATAGCTTTAGATCTCCGATCTAACTTTCCAACGAGATATAATACGCTCCAAACGGATAAACACACAGCAAGATATGAGTGTCACAAATACTTAGTCTTATCTCTATGATTTAGCGTTTTCAGCGAAAATAGAGAACTTTTAGCGTAAATACAGTGTATTTTAGTAATTAGGAAATCATCCCTTGCTATTTTGAAACCAGCGCCTGAGGACAAGTTTTAGAACATGGTATGATCTTTCCAACGAGATATTAAACGCTTTCAATGGCACAAAATAGAGCAATATATGATCGCATCAAATTCTACACGAGTTCAAAGTGAAATCAGAAACATTTTTTTATATATGGTTAATCTGTAACTTTTAATTAATGCATTGTAAATGAAGTTGGAACAATAGCTTTAGAGCTCAGATCTATCTTTCCAACGAGATATAATACGCCCCAAACGGATAAACACACAGCAGGATATGAGTGTCACAAATACTTAGCCTTATCTCTATGATTTAGCGTTTTCAGCTAAAATGAGCACTTTTAGCGTAAATACAGTGTATTTCAGTAATTAGGAAATAATCACTTGATTTTTTGAAACCAGCGCCTGAAGACAAGTTTTAGAAATAGGTAAGATCTTCCAAACGAGATATTAAACGCTTTCAACGGCACAACAAAGAGCAAGATATGATCGCATCAAATTTTACACGAGTTCGGAGTGAAATCAGAAACATTTGTGAATATATGGTTAATATGTAACTTTTAACTAATTCATTGTAAATGAAGTTTGAACAATAGTTTTAGAGCTCCGATCTATCTTTCCAACGAGATATAATACGCTCCAAACGGATAAACACACAGCAAGATATGAGTGTCACAAATACTTAGCCTTATCTCTATGATTTAGCGTTTTCAGCGAAAATAGAGCACGTTTAGCGTAAATACAGTGTATTTTAGTAATTAGGCAATAATCACTTGATTTTTTGAAACCAGCGCCTAAAGACAAGTTTTAGAACTAGGTAAGATCTTTCAAACGAGATATTAAACGCTTTCAACGGCACAACAAAGAGCAAGATATGATCGCATCAAATTCTACACGAGTTTGGAGTGAAATCAGAAACATTTGTGAATATATGGTTAACCTGTAACTTTTAATTAATGCATTGTAAATAAAGTTTGAACAATAGCTTTAGAGCTCAGATCTATCTTTTCAACGAGATATAATACGCTCCAAACGGATAAACACACAGCAAGATATGAGTGTCACAAATACTTAGCCTTATCTCTATGATTTAGCGTTTTCAGCGAAAATAGAGCACTTTTAGCGTAAGTACAGTGTATTTTAGATATTAGGCAATGCTCCCTTTATATTTTGAAACCAGATCCTGAAGACAAGTTTTAGAACTCGGTAAGATCTTTCCAACGAGATATTAAACGCTTTCAACGGCACAAAATAGAGAAAGATATGATCGCATCAAATTCTACACGAGTTCGGAGTGAAATCAGAAACATTTGTGAATATATGGTTAATCTGTAACTTTTAATTAATGCATTGTAAATGAAGTTGGAACAATAGCTTTAGAGCTCCGATCTATCTTTCCAACGAGATATAATACGCTCCAAACGGATAAACACACAGCAAGATATGAGTGTCACAAATACTTAGCCTTATCTCTACGATTTAGCGTTTTCAGCGAAAATAGATCACTTTTAGCGTAAATACAGTGTATTTTAGTAATTAGGAAATCATCCCTTGATATTTTAAAACCAGCGCCTGAAGACAAGTTTTAGAACTAGGTAAGATCTTTCCAATAACATATTAGACGTTTTCAACGGCACAAAATAGAGCAAGATATGATCACATCAAATTCTATACGAGTTCGGAGTGAAATCAGAAACATTTGTGAATATATGGTTAATATGTAACTTTTAATTAATGCATTGTAAATGAAGTTTGA